GGCTAGCTTGCTGAACTCGACCCAGAGGGACTTGTTATTACTGAACAGAAAACAAGCTCATTCTTTGCTCTGCAGGGAACCGCTGTCAGAATATTTCCAGTATGAGCTAAATGGAAAGTCTTGAAGAGGTAGCCTGGAATAAAGACAGTGACTCTGGTCAAACGATGTGCAAAAACACAAGAGGTAGGGGCCGGCCAGGTAGCTCAGCGGATTAAAGTGCCTGCTTAGGCAGACAGACACAAAGGCCGGGGTTCAATCCCCGATGTCCTGTGCTGGCCTGCCTGGGAGGGGCCCCTAGCACACCCTGAGAAGCTATTGAGACTGGGCATGGTGGCACGCACTTGTAATCCCAGCACTTGGGAGGCTGAAAACAGGAGAATCACTCCGAGTCTGATCTGTGCAGTGAGACCCTGTACTAAATGTGTACATTAAAACAAACAACAAACACGAGGTATGTGTAGAGTTGTCTCCCCATAATGATCAACGGTTCAGGACCCATGTGTTGTCAAGGGGACCCTTTCCTTGACCTAGTCTGCTGGTTCTTCCTCTATCAGTTTCCCAAAAAGACAAGGGTGCTACATTTTGGACCTTAACTTTTTTTTTTTTTTTTTTTTTTTTAATGTATTTGGTGGTTGCAGGATCTCACTGTGCAGCTCGGTCTCATGCTGATCCTCCTGCTTTCAGCCTCCCCAGTGCTGGGATTACAGGCATGGGCCACCACACCCACCCATGAGTCAGGGGTGGGGGGCAGCTGACTCAGTATGTGGTGCCAGAGATCTAACTGCCAATGATGGGTCTGTGCTTGCTTGTGATTGCCTAAGGAGGTGCTCTAGTCTGCTGAGCTGTCTCGCTGGCCCTGGCCCTTAAGTTTTATCAGGTACACAGTTCAGCTGTGACAGACCCCTTCTCATTGTGGTTTTACTTTAAGTGCTACATTTCCCTAGAGGCTTTTTCTTTCTCTCTCACAGCACCCTGTATTCACTTTCTTTAGGGCACTGATTTGTTGATGACATTGTCCTGTTTGTTGGCTGAATTCCCTGACTAGAACATGAATTCACTGAGAGTGTGTACCTTGCTCAACCGGTGCACCACAATCTTCTCACAGTTTAAAAAGAAGAGACTCTGGAACGGGGGAAATGACTTAGTGGAATAAGCACTTCCCTGGCAAGTGCAAGGGCCTGAGTTCAATTCCCGGTTCCGGGGGAAGAAAAAAAAAAAAAAAAAGAGAATCGGTATTAGTTGAACTATTAGAGCTGGATATTGACTATTTATTCCCCTTAGGTAGGACTGAAGCTCCTCACTGCTCCCTAGTTCCCACTACTCCCTGTTATCTCCCCAGCCCAGCTTGCTTTAATTTTTTTTACCTACCTGGCCCCTGTGCGCATTTGAAGTTTTAATCCTGGCTCATTAATATCGTTGTAATTACCTTCAGCATCATAAAAGAAGGGACTTTATGTCTTATGCCTCTTTTCTTCCTTCAATATCATGCACATAGTAAGAAGGAAAGGAATAACACTGAATATCGCTTACCCGTTCAGCACAATACTATAATTTGTATCCTCACAACAATGCTAGGAGGCTGGATATTATTATTATTATTATCTCTTTTTTTTTTTTTTTGGTGGAACTTGGGATTGAACTCAGGCCCTTGCACTTGCCAGGCAAGCACTTATTCTACTGAGCCATCTATCCAGCTCCCTAGACTGGATATTATTATTTCTATCAATTTTACAAGTAAGGATACTGAGGCTTAATTTTTCAGGGTCATAGTTTAAATGAAGCACCTGGGGTTGAGACTCACCTGGGCAACATTTATCCAGGATAAAGTATCACAAAAAGGTTGCTCATGTCTGACCAACATGTTACTTTTTCCAATCTGTTTGTTCTTTTTTTTTTTTGAGCAGAACTGGGGATTGAACTCAGGCTCTTGCACTTGCCAGGGAAGTGCTTATTTCACTGAGCCATCTCCCCAGCCCCCACTTTTGTCAATCTGCAGAGCAGAGATTGAGCAGCTGGATGTCTCCGGGCATGTTTTCCTTAAGCAATCTAACTATTTAGTGGTGTTTTTGTTTTTGTTTTTGTTTTTGTTTCTGTTTTTGTTTTTTGAGACAGGCTCTCTGTAGGCAGCCCAGGCTGGCCTTGAACTCACAACGATCCTTCTGTCTCAGCCTCCCGAGTGCTGGGATCACAGCTGTACATCACCATACCTGGCTGAGTCTACCTATTTAGTTTTCAACTTCATTCCATGAAATGTGTGAAGACTGGCTGGAGGTATGCTTATAGTCCCTAGAAGATGCTTTGGGGGGCCTGAGGGTGGCCTCTACCTGAGGGCCCTGCAGAGCTAATAAATGTCTGCTGTTGGCAATTATTATGGCCCCCAGCAGCAAGTTTTTTGGGAGGAGAGCTGCTTCTTTCAAACCATCAGCTCACCCTACGTCACTGGGCCCAGACACAAGCTCAGTCCCCCAGATGCGTACGTACCACACCATGCAGCATTCTTTTAAGTAACAAAATCTTATTTTTATTTTTATTTTTTTTTTTTTACAGAAATTCGGATATTCCAACAAATTTCTTTACATTTCCTGGACCTTAAAAAAATTACACACAACTTTTGGACAGAATACAACAGAACAGAATGGGAAAGGGAACCACTTTTTTTAAAAAGATAAAAACATACTTCTTATACTGGATTAACACTTAGTGATTTACGTGTGTATTGTCTATGTACAAATGGTACATCATCGATGACTCATCTTCATAGCACTGTGGTATGCTAAATGACACTTAGGTTTACAGTGAAAACTTCTTAAAAACATTTGCACATGAATAGGAAGTACTTTTTCTTTTTTGTAACACCACTATCAGTGATGTAGAAGTCGTAATGGAATTTGTAGTTCACACAGATTAGAGAAAGCTGACACTTTTCATTTCTATTTTAGAGATAAGTAAATGAATTCTTGAAAAGTTGTGTGTAATTAAATTTAGCAAGTAGGGTGTTCTGAATGCAACAGGACAGCCAATACTTAAAGCAATAGGTAATCCCTAGAATGACTAATACTGTAGCTACAGATTCTAAGTGTTCCCTTAATTTAGTTCTTTCAAAAAGCCACATCTTGGTAAATTTAGTCATACTTACTTGAGCCTACCTGTAATATACCTCTAGCTACTTGAAGCATTATCCCATTTATGGTGAAAACATGGTCAGTTCCAGAAACAACTGGCTGAAACCCAAATGTGTGCCTCATGGAAAAAGGGTAAGAAAGGTCAACCCTGTTTTGCCCATGTTATCCTTGCTCCGGTGACATATGCTAATTTTATTCTGATTCCAAGCCAAAATGAAGGCATTTTGTATATTCATGTTTCTGCCACTATAAATCTCGTGTGTGTGTGTGCGTGTGTGTGCGTGTGTGTGTGTGTGTGCGTGTGTGTGTGTATTGTACTGGGAAAACAGCTCACAACCTCATGCTTGCCAGGCAGGCGCTATGCCACTGAGCTCTATCCCTGGCCATGTTTCTGGGTCAAGTGTAGAACGTAAGTTGGCTTCCACTGAGCATTCCTATATGCACATTTTAGCTTGCGCTCATTCTCAGGCAATCGACTACTTCATATTAACTATTTCTCCGTTGCAGGCTATTGGTAAGATAGGCAAGGAAGGGGATGGTGGGGGAATCCTGGGAACAACAGGTCATTACAGACAACTGATTAGCTGTAGCTACTTCCAAATGCCAGCTAATTGAAAAAGAAAAAAAATCTGAGAATTTTGAAACCAACATTAGTAAAAAAAACTTAACTTATCCCTACCAAGTTACTTTGACTTGTATAAGCATATAGTCATTTATTTCTAAGGCTATTACATTTTTATTTTTTTTAGTACCACTTACTATCGCTTAGAAAGTTTTAGTCGAATAATTAAAAAAATAAAAATGGATGCCTATCAATCAGAGAAATAAAGGATATGGATTTCTGATGATATGGATGGTGAAGAAATAGAAAAAAATCAGACATTTTAGATATCTATAAAGTATATTAAATTCCTATGCATATACTAAGGAGAATTAGAAAAAAGTATTTATTTGTTAGCAGCCTATATATTACATGTGAGCATCCAGGGGAAAAACGAGCTTTCTATATTTTTCACAGTTCCTCGATGCTGTTTCCTGAAAGACTAGGGAATCTAAGCTGCTTGGGAACCTAGGATGTCAAGACGTACTTCCCGGAATACACAGCTCGATGGAGCAAGAGTATATGTCAGAAACACTTTCTTAGTACTAACTTGTACAGACAGGTTCAACTGAACACAGACTTGGGAAGGAGTTTGAAGTGTTGCATCTCGTAACAGCTGAGTGGTTGTAATTAATTACACAGTGAAATAAATGAACAGTAGAGACAGAGAACCAAAGATCAGAGGCATTTTCTAAGCTGCTTCCTCGATAAATGACCCTTGATCAGCTTCTTGGCTACTGAGATAGGAATAATCTAGAACTAACTGCCCTTTTATTTCTTTTCTTTTTCAAAGATTAAAGCTTCTTGTTTTTGGTTTGATTAAAAAAGGACAGCTTACAAACCTCACTACATATGTATTTTACATGTTACACCTAGCACATTTATATTCCTCTTCCTTAAGATGTTCCTGAAGATGATTTTTCATTGAATATTATCTGATCTTGTTCAATGACAGTTTCCAGTGAGCTGGTGTTTAATCTGTGGTCACCTCTCCTTCCAGAAAATCACCCCATCTTTGCAGATCTACATTTAGACGGTGCCTTGAGGAGTGGAGGCTTCACTCTTGTCCGTATTCATTCTCAAACTGCTATCTCCCAAGCATTTTCCTTCTTGATGTTGATGTACAAAAGCTGTTATTCGATTTGTCTAGCTGTTATTTGATTTGTTTGTGCTCATTCTAGAGAGTATTGGCTTAGCAGAACTGTAAAAAAGGGAGGGAAGAGAGGTAGAGAAATGATTAGAAGAGAAAAAAATGCATCACTTTCTGTCAGCAAGACTTTTGTGCATAATATTCGTCATGGAAACAAACAAACAAACATGCCAGCCAATGGTTCAGATGCACCGAGATTTGCTACCAAAGAAGCCCAGAAGCTGGAGAGCTGTTTCACTACACAGTCTTTCAGACAAGCAATCTTCCTCAAAACCCAAATATTTCCTCTGTCTGGATGGAGAGCACAGACTGCTTTGAAGGAGCACAGGTCTCTGCCTAGGCCTCCCTGAGGGCCCCCATCCCATCTCAAGGAGCACGGAAGAATGCAGAGCGACTGCGAGCAGGATCCTGCCTAGCACGGAAAGCTAGCCTTTGCTTTTTCCTTTCAAATTTTATTTCACACTTGATGTGATAATAGCTAAAAAGGAATGCTCACAGGGATGAAGCACATACGTACACAGTTGCCCTCACATACCAACTGTTTTCTATTATGTTTCCTTCTATTCCGTATGTAAATGCATACTTATTTTACACAGTTGGAGTCACACCAATGAGATTTTAAGTATTATATCATTCTGCTAAAAATTTATACCTTTCCACTAAGAGATCACCCATATCAATTTCTTATACCCATATCAAGACTCCATTTCATGTGCCTGTAATCCCAGCTCTTGGGAGGCTGTAAAGAGGTGTCACTACAAGTCCAATCTAGTAGTGAGACCCTGAACACCCTTTTCTAAAAATACAAAAACAAAAAAACCAAAAACCCCCCTCCATTCCACTCATATACATAGCCAATCCATATGCAATACTCCATTCTCGATTTTACTACTGTCAGAATATAGGTAGATTTTTTTTCCTTGTTATTATAAATGATGAGCATATTTTTCTGTAAAGATCTACTTGGGTTTTGTTTGTTTGTTTTGGGAGTCTTTCTATGTAGCTTAGGCTGGCCTTGAACTCACTGTGTAGCCCAGGTTGGCCTCAAACTCATGATGATCCTCCTGCCTCAGCTTC